ATTCATGAAAACTTGGCTTATTGGGCAAATCGGGCCTTGCATAGTAGGCTGAGAAGTGAGTTCTGGCTACTAGGTACGACATATATATATATATATATATATATATATATATATAATTATATATATATATATATATATATATATATATATATATATATATATATACATATATATGTCGTACCTAGTAGCCAGAACGCACTTCTCAGCCTACTATGCATGGCCCATTTGCCTAATAAGCCAAGTTTTCATGAATTAATTGTTTCTCGACTACCTAACCTACCTAACCTAACCTAACCTAACTTTTTGGGCTACCTAACCTAACCTAACCTATATATATAGGTTAGGTTAGGGGTAGGTAGGGTTGGTTAGGTTGCGGTCATATATCTACGTTAATTTTAACTCCAATTAAAAAAAAGTGACCTCATACATAATGAAATGGTAGCTTTATCATTTCATAAGAAAGAAATTAGAGAAAATATATTTAATTCAGGAAAACTTGGCTTATTAGGCAAATCGGGCCTTGCATAGTAGGCCGAGAAGTGCATTCTGGCTACTAGGTACGACATATATATATATATATATATATATATATATTATATATATATATATCTATATATCTATGGTATATATAGATATATATATATATATATATTAGAATTTGGTCTATTTTAAGGCCTAAATTTGGTTCGACTGGGTGTTCACGTGCGCTTGGTAAATTATTTGTGTAGTAAAGGGTTAAAGCATTAACAGAGGCGGGTTTCGAACAGAGGACGTCAGCGAAAAATATTCGAGAAATGTTGGAAAGTCATAATTTGTAAGTTGAGGGTGTAACGTGTTTTTTATTCATGAACAGTGCGTTCTGCGGCGGGTTTAACGAGCCATTGTTAATGAGGCCGGGCTGGGAAAATTCCGCAAAATATTTTATAAAGAACACACGTGTATGAAAAGTAGACATTATCTAACCTTTAGGTAAATTAAAAGGTCTCGGATCAACTTAATTACTGTTAGTCAAACCGGAAGGGATAGTGCTCACGTCTAGAAGATGAAACACTCTTAGTCTTTCTTTTATTCTTTGGTCAGAAGAGAGACTCCCCAAACCACTCCAGCCAATGGCTGTAAAGTTCCCAAACATCCAAATGAGTTCCAAGGGGAAACACTAGACCAATATCACACACATATTAACAGAATTTGATCAACCAAAAACCAATTGAGTCCCGTATCTCGACAATGAAAAAATATTACATTAAAACTTCAGTATAATTTTCTTTCATCCGTGCATCAGGTTTTGGTTATAAGTCCAGCCTGTGTTCCTAAGTCTCAAAAAATGTATTACATTTACATTTCTGAAAGAGATTTCGGCCACAAAACCAATTGTTGCTTTTACTGTGTAAGCCTAATGCGAGGAGTTCAAATGAGCGTCTAGACAAAATGAACTCTTGAAGGAGTCATGCAGACAATATGCTACTCTGGCTGAGATAATGAAACTGTGTTGCTTTGTATCACGGCTCAACACACACAATACAGTGTGTGTGTGTGTGTGTGTGTGTGTGTGTGTGTGTGTGTGTGTGTGTGTGAGAGTGTGTGTGTGAGAGTGTGTGTGTGAGAGTGTGTGTGTGAGAGTGTGTGTGTGAGAGTGTGTGTATGAGAGTGTGTGTGTGTGTGGTGTGTTGTGAGTGTGTGTGTGAGAGTGTGTGTGTGAGAGTGTGTTTGTGTGAGAGTGTGTGTGAGTGAGTGTGTGTGTGTGTGTGTGTGTGTGTTTGTGTGTGTGTGTTGTGTGTGTGTGTGTGTGTGTGTGTGTGTGTGGTGAGTGTGAGTGTGGTGTGTGTGAGTGTGAGTGTGTGTGTGTAATTACCTAAGTGTAATTACCTAAGTGTAGTACACGGTGAGAGCTACGCTCGTGGTGTCCCGTCTTCCCAGCACTCTTTGTCAATAACGCTTTGAAACTACTGACGGGTCTTGGCCTCCACCACCTTCTCACTTAACTTGTTCCAACCGTCTACCACTCTATTTGCGAAGGTGAATTTTCTTATATTTCTTCGGCATCTGTGTTTAGCTAGTTTAAATCTATGACAAAATATAGATGCATTTGGGTTTGACCTGCGGACTGTGAGGCCGCGGAGGACGCTCCCACACCTGGACTACTGCGGCTCCTATAAGGAAGTATCGGTTTCGAATACGCAGTACGCTAAATCTGGCGTACGTCAGCCTGCACGAGCATACCATGAGCACGGAAGGAATTGTTCCAGTGGCAGTCTCTGGCGAGAAATGGCGTGCATTACACACAGAAATCACAATAGCGTGATGCATCAAATGAACATTCCACAAGGGCCATGACGAGGATTCGAATCTACGTCTGAGAGCATCTAAGACGCTGCCTTAATCGACTGAGCTACGACATGGTGTGTGTGTGTGTGTGTGTGTGTGTGTGTGTGTACTCACCTATACTCACCTATATGTGCTTGCAGGATCGAGCATTGACTCTTGGATCCCGCCTTTCTAGCTATCGGTTGTTTACAGCAATGACTCCTGTCCCATTTCCCTATCATACCTAGTTTTAAAAGTATGAATAGTATTTGCTTCCACAACCTGTTCCCCAAGTGCATTCCATTTTTCTACTACTCTCACGCTAAAAGAAAACTTCCTAACATCTCTGTGACTCATCTGAGTTTCCAGTTTCCACCCATGTCCCCTCGTTCTGTTATTATTACGCGTGTGAACATTTCATCTATTTCCACTTTGTCATTCCCCCCTGAGTATTTTATATGTCCCTAATCATATCTCCCTCTCTCCCTTCTTTTCTCTAGTGTCGTAAGGTTCATTTCCTTCAGCCGCTCTTCATATCCCATCCCTCGTAGCTCTGGGACAAGCCTCGTCGCAAACCTCTGAACCTTCTCCAGTTTCTTTATGTGTTTCTTCATGTGGGGGCTCCATGATGGCGCGGCATACTCTAAGACGGGTCTCACGTAGGCAGTGTAAAGTGCCCTAAAAGCTTCCTCATTTAGGTTTCTGTTGATGATGAAGTTCTAATTTTCGCCAGTGTAGAGTACGCTGCTGTCGTTATCCTATTTATATGTGCCTCAGGAGGTTAGATTAGGTGTCACATCCACTCCCAGGTCTCTTTCTCGAATCGTTACAGGTAGGCTGTTCCCCTTCATTTGTTGTACTGTCCCTTTGGTCTCCTGTCACACCTGATCCCATTCCATAACTTTTACATTTACTGGTGTTTAAATCCAGTAGCCATTTCCCTGACCATCTCTGCAGCCTGTTTAAGTCCTCTTGGAGGATCCTACAATCCTCGTCTGTCACAACTCTTCTCATTAATTTTGCGTCATCTGCAAACATTGACATGTATGATTCCACTCCTGTAAACATATCATTTACGTAAATTAGAAGAGAGGAATTGTGTGTGTGTGTGTGTGTTGTGTGGTGTGTGTTGTGTGTGTGTGTGTGGGGTTTGTGTGTGTGTGTGTGTGTGTGTGTGTGTGTGTGTGTGTGTGGTGTGTGTGTGTGTGTGTATTTTAACTATTTGTATTTAATATTTGTATTTGCGAATCGGAATCGAGCTATTAGCTCTTGGACCCCAACTTTCTAACCAAATTATTATTCCTTTATTATGTCTACTACATACATTTCTATCTAACACACACACACACACACACACACACACACACACACACACACAGGAAGCAGCCCATAGCAGCTGTCTAACTCCCAGGTACCTATTTACTGCTAGGTAACAGGCGCATCAGGGTGAAAGAAACTCTTCCTATGTGTTTTTGCCTCTGCCAGGGGAGATCAAATGCGAGCCCTTAGGACTACGACCCCAGAGCGCTGTCCACTCAGCCGCTAGGCCCTGTGTGTGTGTGTGTGTGTCCGGGGTTCGAGTCCAGGCGCTAGAGGCTATCCTCCCACAACTTTGCCCTGTGATCGATCCCACTGATCATATTAGAAAGGAGTCTGATCGCACTGAGATCCCCCATTAAATCGGTGAAAGGTTTCTGGCCAAGTCTATAGATTTCTTGACCAAAGATAGTCATATACAGCTGGGTGTATCTTCTCTCACTCTCACTCACCCTCATCTTCCTCTCACCCTCACCAGCATCTTCCTCTCACCCTCACCAGCATCTTCCTCTCACCCTCACCAGCATCTTCCTCTCACCCTCACCAGCATCTTCCTCTCACCCTCACCATCATCTTCCTCTCACCCTCACCAGCATCTTCCTCTCACCCTCACCATCATCTTCCTCTCACCCTCACCAGCATCTTCCTCTCACCCTCACCAGCATCTTCCTCTCACCCTCACCATCATCTTCCTCTCACCCTCACCAGCATCTTCCTCTCACCCTCACCAGCATCTTCCTCTCACCCTCACCATCATCTTCCTCTCACCCTCACCAGCATCTACTCTCACCCTCGCCGTCTCTCCAGCACCCTGAGAGGAAGCCCAATATCTTCAGACCTTGCTCACTACCGCCTCAATATTTCTCCTGCATCAGCCTTCCTGTTTTTCAATTCCTACACTCTATTGTTCACTTTTCACTCAATTTAAAAGTGCCCCGCCCCGTGAGACCCCCCACGAGCCGCCCCACTAACCCCCCCCCCCCTTCAAACGAGCCCTTTCCCCCCCCCCCTCCTCCGATTCTCTACAATTGCTTCCCCTCCAAAATCTCCTCCTTATTTACATTCCATTTTCTGTTCTCCAATTTACAATTCAATTTTACTGACCCGTAAATTTATATTCCCATTTCACTTTAGCCCGCCTGCTCCCTCCCCTATTACTCCCTCCCTCCCTTAACTTTCCCCCTCCCTCCTTAACTTTCCCCCTCCCTCCCTTAACTTTCCCTCCCTCCCTAAACTTTCCCCCTGCCCCTCCCTTAACTTCCCCCCTCCCCCTCCCTTTAACTTCCCCCCTCCCCCTCCTTTAACTTTCCCTCCCTCCCTCCCTCTCCCATCACCACCATCACCTCCGTCAAAATATACTGCTTGAACCTCCAACTTTTTCATCCTTCCGGAACTCTATTCCGTCCGTTCGTGGCTTCCTGCCGTCCGTTCGTGGCGTCCTGCCGTCCGTTCGTGGCGTCCTGCCGTCCGTTCGTGGCGTCCTGCCGTCCGTTCGTGGCTTCCTGCCGTCTGTTCGTGGCGTCCTGCCGTTCGTTCGTGGCGTCCTGCCGTCCGTTCGTGGCGTCCCTGCCGTCCGTTCGTGGCGTTCCTGCCGTCCGTTCGTGGCGTCCTGCCGTCCGTTCGTGGCTTCCTGCCGTCCGTTCGTGGCGTCCTGGCGTCCGTTCGTGGCGTCCCTGCCGTCCGTTCGTGGCGCCCTGCCGTCCGTTCGTGGCGTCCTGCCGTCCGTTCGTTGGCGTCCTGCCGTCCGTTCGTGGCGTCCTGCCGTCCGTTCGTGGCGTCCTGCCGTCCGTTCGTGGCGTCCTGCCGTCCGTTCGTGGCGTCCTGCCGTCCGTTCGTGGCGTCCTGCCGTCCGTTCGTGGCGTCCTGCCGTCCGTTCGTGGCGTCCTGCCGTCCGTTCGTGGCGTCCTGCCGTCCGTTCGTGGCGTCCTGCCGTCCTGCCGTCCGTTCGTGGCGTCCTGCCGTCCGTTCGTGGGCGTCCTGCCGTTCGTTTCGTGTCGTCCTGCCGTCCGTTCGTGGCGTCCTGCCGTTCGTTCGTGGCGTCCCTGCCGTTCGTTCGTGGCGTCCTGCCGTTCGTTCGTGGCGTCCTGCCGTTCGTTCGTGGCGTCCTGCCGTCCGTTCGTGGCGTCCTGCCGTCCGTTCGTGGCGTCCTGCCGTCCGTTCGTGGCGTCCTGCCGTCCGTTCGTGGCGTCCTGCCGTCCGTTCGTGGCGTCCTGCCGTCCGTTCGTGGCTTCCTGCCGTCCATTCGTGGCTTCCTGCCGTCCGTTCGTGGCGTCCTGCCGTCCGTTCGTGGCGTCCTGCCGTCCGTTCGTGGCGTCCTGCCGTCCGTTCGTGGCGTCCTGCCGTTCGTTCGTGTTGTTTCTAATTTTATTGTTAAGTTTATGTTTGTTTTGTGACGATAAGTTTTGGTTTTGTGTTTCTGTCAGCCATCTGTCAGTCACAGATGGCTTACTGTCAGCCATCTGTCAGTCACAGATGGCTTACTGTCAGCCATCTGTCAGTCACAGATGGCTTACTGTCAGCCATCTGTCAGTCACAGATGGCTTACTGTCAGCCATCTGTCAGTCACAGATGGCTTACTGTCAGCCATCTGTCAGTCACAGATGGCTTACTGTCAGCCATCTGTCAGTCACAGATGGCTTACTGTCAGCCATCTGTCAGTCACAGATGGCTTTACTGTCAGCCATCTGTCAGTCACAGATGGCTTACTGTCAGCCATCTGTCAGTCACAGATGGCTTACTGTCAGCCATCTGTCAGTCACAGATGGCTTACTAATGCCTTGAGGCCGACGTCTTCACAAGCAACAAGAAAGCTTTAGTCTTGATTAGTGTTCAGAGAGTAAAGCAACATGGTATATTACCGTAGCTATTTTAAACACTTTACTGGGTTTTGTGGCCCGGGTGGAGCGGCCCCCCGGGTGGAGCGGCCCCCGGGTGGAGGGCCCCCCGGGTGGAGCGGCCCCCCGGGTGGAGCGGCCCCCGGGTGGAGCGGCCCCCCGGGTGGAGCGGCCCCCCGGGTGGAGCGGCCCCCGGGTGGAGCGGCCCACCGGGTTGGAGCGGGCCCCCGGGTGGAGCGGGTCCCCGGGTGGAGCGGCCCCCGGGGTGGAGCGGCCCCCGGGGTGGAGCGGCCCCCGGGGTGGAGCGGCCCCCGGGTGGAGCGGCCCGCCCGGGTGGAGCGGCCCCCGGGTGGAGCGGTCCCCGGGTGGAGGGCCCCCGTGTGGAGCGGCCCCCTCCCCCGGGTGGAGCGGCCCCCCTCCCCCGGGTTGAGCGGCCCCCTCCCCCGGGTGGAGCGGCCCCCTCCCCCGGGTGGAGCGGCCCCCCTCCCCCGGGGGTGGAGCGGCCCCCGGGTGGAGCGGCCCCCTCCCCCGGGTGGAGCGGCCCCCTCCCCCGGGGTGGAGCGGCCCCCTCCCCCGGGTGGAGCGGCCCCCGGGTGGAGCGGCCCCCGGGTGGAGCGGCCCCCGGGTGGAACGGCCCCCCGGGTGGAACGGCCCCCCGGGTGGAACGGCCCCCCGGGTGGAGCGGCCCCCCGGGTGGAACGGCCCCCCGGGTGGAGCGGCCAATGTGATATACCGAACATCTAGGCGGTGAAATAGTCGTTATAACAACCTGTTCTCTTACAACGAACGTCGCATTTCGATCGTATGCGTTACATACGACCAAAAAAATTATCGTACTAGAAAATGGAAGCGGCAGGCGAAAGTGACGTACTGTCCCGTTTTCTGTTTTGGGTCCTCTGGTAGGTTAGGAGGGACCACTGTAAACTGACCGTCCTCTTGACGATGGGAAAACCTTAGCAGGACGGACTGGCTATATAAAGCTATTTCTAACCCAACAAACTCACCCCTAACTTCCCTTCACACCATCCTTTCCCTACCCACCCACTCCCATCCCTTCCTCTAGCAACAAAGCCCCTCCAAGCACCCCCTCCCCCGCCAATTTCCATCCCTCCCCCGCCAATTTCCATCCCTCCCCCACCACAATCCTACCCTTCCATCCCTCCCCCACCACAATCCTACCCTTCCATCTCTCCCCCACCACAATCCTACCCTTCCATCCCTCCCCCACCACAATCCTACCCTTCCATCCCTCCCCCACCACAATCCTACCCTTCCATCCTCCCCCACCACAATCCTACCCTTCCATCCCTCCCCCACCACCACCTATCCTACCCTTCCATCCTTCCCCCCACCACAACCCTACCCTTCCATCCCTCCCCCCCACCACAAATACACTACCCTTCCATCCTCTCCCCCACCACAATCCTACCCTTCCATCCTTCCCCCCACCACAACCCTACCCTTCCATCCCTCCCCCCACACACAATCCTACCCTTCCATCCCTACCCCAACCACAATCCTACCCATCCATCCTTTCCCCCACCACAATCCTCAACCCTTCCATCCCTCCCCCACCACAATCCTACCCTTCCATCCCTCCCCCACCCAAACCCTACCCTTCCATCCCTCCCCAACCACAATCCTACCCTTCCATCCCTCCCCCACCACAATCCTACCCTTCCATCTCTCCCCCACCACAATCCTACCCTTCCATCCCTCCCCCACCACAATCCTACCCTTCCATCCCTCCCCCACCACAATCCTACCCTTCCATCCCTCCCCCACCACAATCCTACCCTTCCATCCCTCCCCCACCACAATCCAACCCTTCCATCCCTCCCCCACCACAATCCTACCCTTCCATCCCTCCCCCCCCACCACACCCTACCCTTCCATCCTTCCCCCACCACCAATCCTACCCTTCCTCCCTCCCCCCCACCACCATCCTACCCTTCCATCCCTCCCCCACACCACAATCCTACCCTTCCATCCCTCCCCCACCACAATCCAACCCTTCCATCCCTCCCCCACCACACATCCTACCCTTCCATCCCCTCCCCACAACAAAACCCACCCTTCCATCCCTCCCCCACCACAATCCTACCCTTCCATCCCTCCCCCACCACAATCCTACCCTTCCATCCCTCCCCCCACCACAACCCTACCCTTCCATCCCTCCCCCACCACAACCCTACCCTTCCATCCTTCCCCCACCACAATCCTACCCTTCCATCCCTCCCCCACCACAATCCTACCCTTCCATCCCTCCCCCTCCACAATCCTACCCTTCCATCCCTCCCCCACCACAATCCTACCCTTCCATCCCTCCCCCCACCACAACCCTACCCTTCCATCCCTCCCCACCACAATCCTACCCTTCCATCCTCCCCCACCACAATCCTACCCCTTCCCTCCCTCCCCCACCACAATCCTACCCTTCCATCCCTCCCACACAACAATCCTACCCTTCCATCCCTCTGGTTAAGTCTCCAGCGAGGCTTCAGGTAAGTAAATTAAGTGTAAAGAAGAGGGAGGGTTAAGGCCCTGGTGATGGCGTTTGATGGTCACTTGGCGCGGCATTATCCCCAGATTTCCCGGCCGCCCTGGCCTGGTGCACCACCTGCACCCTAGGTGGCAGGGGAGGACTGTTTACCTGCACCCTAGGTGGCAGGGGAGGACTGTGTTTACCTACACCCTAGGTGGCAGGGGAGGCCTGTTTACCTGCACCCTAGGTGGCAGGGGAGGCTAGTGTTTACCTGCACCCTAGGTGGCAGGGGAGGCTAGTGTTCACCTGCACCCTAGGTGGCAGGGGAGGACTGTGTTTACCTGCACCCTAGGTGGCAGGGGAGGCTAGTGTTTACCTGCACCCTAGGTGGCAGGGGATGACTGTTTACCTGCACCCTAGGTGGCAGGGGATGACTGTTTACCTGCACCCTAGGTGGCAGGGGAGGACTGTTTACCTGCACCCTAGGTGGCAGGGGAGGCCAGTGTTTACCTGCACCCTAGGTGGCAGGGGAGGCTAGTGTTTACCTGCACCCTAGGTGGCAGGGGAGGCTAGTGTTTACCTGCACCCTAGGTGGCAGGGGAGGCTAGTGTTTACCTGCACCCTAGGTGGCAGGGGAGGCTAGTGTTTACCTGCACCCTAGGTGGCAGGGGAGGACTGTGTTTACCTGCACCCTAGGTGGCAGGGGAGGGCACAGTGTTTACCTGCACCCTAGGTGGCAGGGGAGGACTGTGTTTACCTGCACCCTAGGTGGCAGGGGAGGCTATGTGTTTACCTGCACCCTAGGTGGCAGGGAAGGACTGTGGTTTACCTGCACCCTAGGTGGCAGGGAGGGCTAGTGTTTACCTGCACCCTAGGTGGCAGGGGAGGACGTGTTTACCTGCACCCTAGGTGGCAGGGGAGGCTAGTGTTTACCTGCACCCTAGGTGGCAGGGGAGGAGGCTAGTGTTTACCTGCACCCTAGGTGGCAGGGGAGGACTGTTTACCTGCACCCTAGGTGGCAGGGGAGGACTGTGTTTACCTGCACCCTAGGTGGCAGGGGAGGCTAGTGTTTACCTGCACCCTAGGTGGCAGGGGAGGACTGTGTTCACCTGCACCCTAGGTGGCAGGGGAGGACTGTTTACCTGCACCCTAGGTGGCAGGGGAGGACTGTGTTTACCTGCACCCTAGGTGGCAGGGGAGGACTGTTTACCTGCACCCTAGGTGGCAGGGGAGGACTGTGGTTTACCTACACCCTAGGTGGCAGGGGCGGCTAGTGTTTACCTGCACCCTAGGTGGCAGGGGAGGAGAGCTAGTGTTTACCTGCACCCTAGGTGGCAGGGGAGGCTAGTGTTTACCTGCACCCTAGGTGGCAGGGGAGGCTAGTGTTTACCTGCACCCTAGGTGGCAGGGGAGGACTGTTTTCCTGCATCCTAGGTGGCAGGGGAGGACTGTTCACCTGCACCCTAGGTGGCAGGGGAGGACTGTGTTTACCTGCACCCTAGGTGGCAGGGGATGACTGTGTTTACCTGCACCCTAGGTGGCAGGGGAGGTCTGTGTTCACCTGCACCCTAGGTGGCAGGGGAGGCTAGTGTTTACCTGCACCCTAGGTGGCAGGGGAGGACTGTTTAACTGCACCCTAGGTGGCAGGGGAGGACTGTTTTTCCTGCATCCTATGTGGCAGGGGGGAGGACTGTGTGTTCCCTGCACCATAGGTGGCAGGGGAGGACTGTGTTTACCTGCACCCTAGGTGGCAGAGGAGGCCAGTGTTTACCTGCACCCTAGGTGGCAGGGGAGGTCTGTGTTCACCTGCACCCTAGGTGGCAGGGGAGGACTGTGTTTACCTGCACCCTAGGTGGCAGGGGAGGGACTGTGTTCCACCTGCATCCTAGGTGGCAGGGGAGAGGATGTTTACCTGCAACCCTAGGTGGCAGGGGAGGACTGTTTACCTGCACCCTAGGTGGCAGGGGAGGACTGTTTACCTGCACCCTAGGTGGCAGGGGAGGACTGTGTTTACCTGCACCCAAGGTGGCAGGGGATGACTGTGTTTACCTGCTCCCTAGGTGGCAGGGGAGGACTGTTTACCTGCACCCTAGGTGGCAGGGGAGGACTGTGTTCACCTGCATCCTAGGTGGCAGGGGAG